TGTGAATCATTACAATTCATTCTTCCAGTTTGTTCAAGCTACCTCATTAAATCTGGAGAGGTGACAGACGCGACAACACAAGCCCAGTTCTCAAGCAGAGCAGAACTTGAGAGGGCTAAATTTCCGAACACTGCCTCAGGCAATGCAATTATTGGATAAGTTTGAATCTATTGCTGTTTTTGAGTTTGGAATGCATATTTGCATTTTATATGGGCTTAATGGATGTATTATTTTCCTGATCATCCTTTCTCCTTGAATTTGTTGTTAGAATGAAACATTGCTCTTTGTTTGTTGTTCTACATTGTTGATTCTTGTTTAAGAAGGCAGGCATCTGATCCTGAGATAAGTTTGCACTACAGACCAACTAGAAAAGCATCCATTATTAAACCCAGCAACAGTCACACCTCTCAACAGAACTTCCAACGTTGATCTAGGTGCCCTGGATTAAAAGTAACATTTAGCCTATGGAGAATTCCCAGAGGATGCTCAACGATGATGATTATGAGATCTGAAAATAGAACCAATAAAGAGAAGACATAAAACCTGGTTTATTTTGTCTGGAAGGAAAAGGCTAAAAGAAGACTTAAAGGCGGCTGGGCGCAGTGGCTCACGCCTGTAATTCCAGCACTTTGGGAGGCTGAGGCGGACCAATCACATGAGGTCAGGAGTTCAAGACCAGCCTGGCCAACATGGTGAAACCCCGTCTCTACTAAAAATTCAAAAATTAGCTGGACATGGTGATGGATGCCTGTAATCCCAGCCACTCCGGGGGGCTAGGCAAGAGGATCACTTGAACCTAGGAAGAGGAGGTTGCAGTGATCCAAGATTGTGCCACTGCCCTCCAGCCTGGGTGACAGAGTAAGACTCTGTCTCAAAAAAAAAAAAAAAAAAAAAAAAAGACTTAAATCCGTGAAGTTAGTTATTCTTCCAAAGATACTTGATACATTCTCCTTTTATATAATCTATGGATAAAGTCAGGGAAAACTGGTTTAAATTATAACAAGAAATTTAGGTTAGATGGCAGAAGAAAAATTTCTAGCAGGAAATGCAAGAGAACACCAGGCAAATGTGTGGACTTCATTTTCCCAGTAAAAATGGAACTGTTCACTAGGCATTGGATTGAATAATCTTACTCACCGTGATGATGCAATGCTGAGCCTTATTCTCTTGTGATCATATAACCATTCTATTTTATGCCCTTAGAATGTCAGTCACTTTTATGATCTCTTCTTGGAAGCAAAAATACCCTTCTCAATACAATTCTCAGAAGGTAGTGTTTGATTATTGAATTTGATTATTATTATTATTTTAGATAGATATGGAGTCTTACTATGTTTCCCAGGCTACTCTCAAACTCCTGGGCTCAAGCAATCCTCCTTCCTCAGCCTTCCAAAGTGCCAGGATTACAGGTGTGAGGCACCACACCTGGCCAAGATTGTTGAATTGTTTATACCTGTGTTGTAGTGAAACAGATACTAAAAAAATAATAATAATAATACTGTGTTAAAATTCCAGACTGAAGGTGATTTTTCTTAAAGCCGCTGATGAGGAGGGTTTTTAAATTGGTTTCTCATAACCTGTGATGTCTTGGGCCTCATATCATTATTATGATGGATGTTTCTTTTCTAAGAAGATTACCTATTCACTATTCACAATAGAAAGTGAATAGAAAGATATGTACTCACTTCCATGCCCATCAATGGTGGAATGGATAAAGAAAACATGGTAATATACATATATATCATGGAATACTACACAGTCTAAAAAAGAACAAAATCACTGTCCTTTGCAGCAACATGGATGTAGCTGGAGGCCGTTATCTTAAGGGAATTAACACAGGAACAGAAAATCAAATATTGCATGTTATCACAAGCAGGAGCTAAACACTGGATACTTATGAACATAAAGATGGCAGCAATACACACTGGGGACTACTAGAGGGGGAAGAAAGCGGGCGGGGCAAGGGCTAAGAAACTAACTTAAGGACTATACTCAGTGCCTGGTTGACAGGTTCAGTTGTACCCGAAACTTCAGCATCACACAATATACCCATGTAACAAATGCACACATGTACTCCCTGAATCTAACACAGAAATTGAAATTATTTAAAAATTAATTTGTAGTTACCAGAAAAAAAAGAGATGAATTATTAAGAACCTCAAGCTGGGCATGGTGGTTCATGCCTGTAATCACAACACTCTGGGAGACGGAGGCGGGGGGATTGCTTGAGCCTAGGAGTTTGAGACCAGTCTGGGCAACATAGGGAGACCTCGTTTCTACAACAAAATTTAAAAAGTATTAGCTGGGCATGGTGGCACATGCCTGTAATTCCAGAACTTTGGCAGGCCAAGGTAGGGGGAATCACTTGAACTTGGGAGGCTGAGGCTGCAGTTAGCTATGATCATGCCACTGCACTCCAAAAGAAGACCTCATATTCTGTAGGCTTGAGTTTGAGACCAGTCTGGACAACATAGGGAGACCTCGTCTCTACAAAAAAAAAAAAATATATATATCTATATATCTATATATATGTGTGTGTGTGTGTGTGTGTATGTGTGTGTATGTATGTGTGTGTGTGTATGATGTGTGTGTGTGTGTATTAGCCAGGCATGGTGGTGCATGCCTGTGGTCCCAGCTACTGGGGAAGCTGAGGTGGGAGAATCGCCTGAGCCTGGCAGGTTGAGGCTGCAGTGAGCTATGCTCATGCCACTACACTTCAAAAGAAGAAGACCTCAAATTCTGTAGACTGAGGGAGTGGGGGCAGTTAGGGGAAGATCTGAGTAAAAAGCATGGTTTCATTTGACCCTCAGATATCACCACCTAGTGAATTGTAATGGTTTATGTCACAACATTTAGGCCTCAGCCTTTTCAATAGAGTTGAATCTTTTTTTTTTTTTTTCGAGACAGAGTTTCGCTCTTGTTGCCTAGGCTGGAGTGCAGTAGTGTGATCTTAGCTCATTGTAACCTCTACCTCCCAGATTCAAGCAATTCTCCTGCCTCAGCCTCCGAGTAGCTGGGACTACAGGCATGTGCCACCACATCCAGCTAATTTTGTATTTTTAGTAGAGACGGGGTTTCTCCATGTTGGTCAGGCTGGTCTCGAACTCCTGACCTCAGGTGATCCACCCACCTCGGCCTCCCAAAGTGCTGGGATTATAGTCGTGAGCCACCGCACCCAGCCTGAAGTTTAAGCTTTTATCTGTAAAATGTTTTCTTAAAATCTAATAATTTTTTGTTCCCAGTATATATAATTTCCTTCATTATATAATTAACTGAAACAATGCACTTTATTTTTTAAAAACAAAACAACTGAACAAAATGAATTATGATTCTAAACCTGATCTTCTGATACCATGGATTGAGAACGCTTAATTTTCATAAAATAAAGATTAGGCCATCTGACAATTTCCAAAAATTAAATACACCATACCTGCAAGGGTTTTTTAAAATTTCTTTTTAAGAAAACATTCTACCAGAGCCTTAAAAAATTTAGTGATGGTGTCTCACTGTGTTGCTCAGGCTTGTCGCAAACTCTTGGGCTCAAGTGATTATCCCGCCTTGGCCTCCCAAAGTGCTGGGATTACAGGTGTGAGCCACCAAGTGCTGTACCTTCCAAGGTTTTGAAGTAAATTTCCAGATGTTCTAATGTCTTCTGCTTATTTAAACCTTTTAAAATTCATCACCATCATTTCAAATACACATTTTGAAACTTATTTGAAAATAAAATCAGGTTGTTTCCTGGTGTAGCCAATACACTGTCTAAATTGTTAGGAGTCTATGGTGATGCCAAAGACAATTGCAACTTGAGATGGTTGATTCTGAAGCTCTCAGCCAAGTAACATGCAAAGTGGAGAAAAGAGCTTACATTTAAGGCTGGATGCAGTGGCTCATGCCTGCGATTCCAGCATTTTGGGAGGCTGAGATGGGCGGATCACCTGACACCAGAAGTTCGAGACCAGCCTGTCCAACATGGTGAAACCCCGACTTTACTAAAAACACAAAAAATTTAGCTGAGCATGGTGGTATGCACATGTAATCTCAGTTACTTGGGAGACTGAGGCATGAAAATCGTTTGAACCTGGGAGGTGGAAATTGCAGTGAGTCGAGATCATGCCACTGCACTCCAGCCTGAGTGACAAAGCAAGACTCTGTCTCAAAAAAAAAAAAAAAAAAAGCTTACATTTAAGACAGCGTCTCACTTTCTCTTGCCCCTTGCTTCAGCCTCACTTCCTTTTCTTCTCCCCTTTATTTCTATGTTATCATTATGTTTCCATAGTTAAATATGGTGCTGTAATGCAATTTGTAAAGTAAACCCTTCTATTGCCTTAACATTTTTTTTCGTCTTGTAAAGGAAGAAATTAATGTTTTAAAAACAGAAGTACTACTACTTTCTTGATGTATTTTTCCCTATATGTGTTTATAACACTTAAAAAGAATTAAAATAAGGCCAGGTGCGGTGGCTCATGCCTGTAATCCCAGCATTTTGGGAGGCTGAGGCAGGGTGATCACCTGAGGTCAGGAGTTCGAGACCAGCCTGGCCAACATGGTGAAACCCCGTCTCTACTAAAAATACAAAAATTAGCTGGGCATGGAGGTGGGGGCAGCTGTAATTCCAGCTACTCAGGAGGCTTTGCAGGAGCATTGCTTGAACCCAGGAGGTGGAGGTTGCAGTGAGCCGAGATTGCGCCACTGCACTCCAGCCTGGGCAGCAGAGCGAGACTCTATCTCCATCTTAAAAAAGAAAAAAAAAAAGAAAATAAAAAATTTAGTTTTCTCCTTTAATAAAAGTAAGCTACGTCTGTGATATACACATTTCTTTTTTCTCTGGTGGGTTAAATATAATTTGCCAGATGAGATAGCTTCCATGCTGATAAGTGTTTTTTCGTCTGTTCAGAATTATCTTTCTATGTAAATCCATCACTGAATTTCAGTGTCTTTGCAGAACGGCAGAATGACTTGGTTGATCAGGTTCTGTTTTTTGTGTGCTTTGTTTGTTCTAGATACATTTCATATTGCTCTTCAGTCGACAAGGGAAATTACGGCTACAGAAATGGTACATCACTCTGCCTGACAAAGAGAGGAAGAAGATCACCCGGGAAATTGTTCAGATTATTCTCTCCCGTGGTCACAGGACAAGCAGTTTTGTTGACTGGAAGGAACTAAAACTTGTTTATAAAAGGTGTGAGTAACTTTTTGAGAGCTCAGTTTCTCAGTCTTGCTTTGGTTTGTTCTAATCCTGAACATTTTAGATTGCTATATAGCAATTCCATCACTTACTGAAATCTTTGAAGGCTGGAGCCCAGATATTTGTACCAATAGACTAACTAGAAAATAACTCTCATTTTATTGAAAGAAATTCTAGGTGCCAGGATTCAGGATTCTAGGTAAATAAACTACACCTTGATAGTGCATGCATGCATTTAAGAAAAGTGGTATGAAAACCTGTTACATTCCCGGCATTGTTCTTTTTGAATTTTTTGGAGATGGAATCTCACTCTGTCACCCAGGCTGGAGTGCAATGGCATGATCTCGGCTCACTACAACTTCTACCTCCTGGGTTCAAGCGATTCTCTTGCCTCAGCCTCCCAAGTAGCTGGGATTGCAGGCATCTGCCACTATGCCTGACTAATTTTTGTATTTTAAGAGAGATGGGGTTTCACCATGTTGGCCAGGCTGGTCTGGAACTCCTGTGAGTTCCAGGTGATCAACTCAGGTGATCCACCTGCCTCGGCCTCCCAAAGCACTGAGATTACAAGTGTTAGCTATCATGCCCGGCCTTTCCTGGCATTGTTCTAATGGCTGTAAATACATCAGTGAACAAGACAGATGACATTCCTGCTGTCATGTAGTATACATATTTGTTAAGTAACCAAATAAAATATTTTCAGAAATGGGGTTGTGTTCGGTGGGACAGCTCTTATTATGCCTATTACTTGAATTTGTAATGAGTACATTGAGGACACAGAGTTTTAGTAGTCAGTTCCCAGTCACAGTAATTGAGTGTTAATTGCTAGAGCCAGGCTTCAAATCCAGATCCTTTTGGCTTTAAAGCCTGCGTATTCTTTTTACCATACCTGCTTGCCACGGCAAGACCATTACTAGAAAGGACCCACCATAGGTGAGAGAACTAAGCCTGAGAGGTAACATGATTTTGCCCTTGGAGACCCAGGTAATTGATGCCTAAGCCAGGAACAGAACACAGCTAACTTGACCTTGTATGCAACACCCCACTGCAACTCCTGGAAGGAGTTATGCTCCTTAGATATGCTCTTGCAAAGGGTGTCTATAAAACTCATTGGGAAAAACAGAGGTAACCTTCACAGACTGATATTCAATGGACTAAATTACCAGCAAGTGCCTGCAAAGCTCCATCTGCTGGGCCCAAGGTTGGAGTCTGACAAGTTGAGGAGGGAGGCCCACACAGAATGACTGAAGTCCATTGTGAAGCGGGAGAGTGGGGAGCGTGGGCTCCTGACAGCCCTGGTCAGGGCTTTCTATTTTACAAAAAACAATTGACAAGCTGGAGAGGGGTGTGACGACACCCTGATTACCAGGGGTGAAAGGATACTGTCCTCCTGATAATAGCTCTTCAAGGTACAATTTTGTTGAGAGCCTTTCATGCATAATTAACGGAAGTAATCCAACCCCCACAGCATTTTCATATTTTCTGATTTATATTTCAGGAGGCTATTGGGGGTGATGAATAATGATTTCATTCTTGGATGAGGAGAGGCTCGGGGGGGAGGAGGTGACTTTACATATTCACGGGAAAAACTGTCTCCAGGTTGCTTAATGTATCGTCATATTTTCCTTTTGTTATTTTTCATTTCAAGGTATGCTAGTTTATATTTTTGCTGTGCAATAGAAAATCAGGACAATGAGCTCTTGACGCTAGAGATTGTGCATCGTTACGTGGAGCTGCTGGACAAATATTTTGGAAATGTAAGTGTTGTCCTTGTCGGTTAGGATTAGCTACAGTCCCCATCTCAGCTCTTACTTCAGTTCTGTCTCTCATCGCATTCCTTTTCTCTCTCACATCTAAAATATGAATTGAACTTGAACCAAAGATCACCTTAGTCCCCTAAGATTAGAATACAAGACTTTTCTCCCTACCTGTAATTCTCAGTAAATGAAAGACCCAAAGCTTTCCTTTTTCCTTTTTAAATAGAGACAGGGTCCTGCTATATTGCCCAGGTTGGTCTTGAACTCTTGGCCTCAAGCAATTCTCCCACCTCAGCTTCCCAAAGAGCTAGGATTATAGGCATGAGCTACCACGCCCGGCCACCCAAAGCTTTCGAGAGGTGGATATATCTTTATCTTCAAACTACAAATGCACCAGAGACCTTATTTCAGTGAACCAGAATTTAACTCTGAAGGATTTCTTGATATTCTGTTCTTTATACTTCATTGACATTGTCATCTCTTTTCTGTTTTGACTTTTTATCCTTTCTCTGGCTTTTTTTCTAAGCTATAAGTATTCTTAGTTATTTATGCATAAGAAAAATAGCAACAAACAACAAAACCAGATCCTTTTCTTTCACATTGTTATTCAATAATCTTTTTGCACTTTCTGCCAAGCGATATGCTATACTAGGTGCTCCTGTCCTCAGAACTCATTCACTTGGCCGTGCTTACAGCATGGGTCCATCTTGACTCTCCAAGGAAATCAGCAAGTTACCACTGAACCCTCCTGTGGGTTGACACCAGCGATTCCTCTTGAGTCTTCACCTGCCTTCACCTGCTTCTCGCTGCAGCACCGTACCCTTGTTCACCATGACGCTTTCTTTAAATTCTTGATTTTGCCATGACATTGATTTCTGCTGACACTTGTCCTGTTATTTCTGAAGGCCCCTCCTTGGTTTCTTCCACTCAGCCATCCCTAAATGCCCTCATTTCTTCCTAACTCTGTGTGTACTGACTCTCTGCCCTGGAAATCCCTTACTATGTGACTCTTCTTCCTCTGGTTGGTGACAGTCTTCACTGGGCTTCTCATGGTCCAGAACCAAACTCATCTACTGAAAATCTGTTCTGTCTTGTGATTGGAATTTGTTATGTTCCAGGATCCTTCCGTGCAAAAGGATGCTGTTTCTTTTGTCTTTTTCTACACTTTACCGGAATCTGCCTCTATCTATTCAAATTGGGCTGACATTCATTTCCTTCTTTCCACTCTCACTGGTATAGGTTCACTTGGAATTTCAATTTTGCTTTTCTCTTAAACATCCTACCTGGCTTTTTGTGCCTCTGAGCTTTTCTCTGTTCGCCCTCTTGCCTTATGAGTTACCATCTTCCTTAAAAAACCCAGATATAGGTGTGGCATTCCTTCACAGCCACTTTCCATCATGTACAATAAATAAAGTCAATCTCCTTAGCCTGTCGTTTAACCTTTCAAAGCATGGATCCCTGACCACTCCTCCAGCCTTATTGCACTTCCCTTTTTTATTGATTGATTTATTTATTGAGACAGAGTTTTGCTCTTGTTGCCCAGGCTGGAGTACAATGGCATGATCTCTGCTCACTGCAACCTCTGCCTCCCGAGTTCAAGTGATTCTCCTGCCTCAGCCTCCAGAGTAGCTGGGATTACAGTCCTCCGCCACCATGCCTGGCTCATTTTTATATTTTTATTAGAGATGGAGTTTCACCATGTTGGCCAGGCTAGTCTTGAACTCTTGACCTCGGGTGATCCGCCTGCCTTGGCCTCCCAACGTCAGGCGTGAGCCACCGCCTCCAGGCTACATTTCCCTTTTTATATACCTGAGAGTTCTCCAGCAACAAGGAATGACCTTGGAGTGTCCCTCATTGGCACCCAATTTGCTCGACCACCAAATTGCAATTCTGTTGAGACCATGCTTTGTGACTCACTTTATACCCCCACCGCTTAACTTGTAACAGCTGTGGGCCAGATCTGATAGCAAATGTTCCAAAACATTTAATCCAGTTAACAGTCTCAAGAAATAAATCACTGGATTTAGAAAGCATTTTCTTCTCTTAATACCCTCTTCCCTTACTCACTGAAGATTTTTGTTAAGTGTTATGATAATCTGCTTCCAGAAGAGTTTTTTTTTGGTTATTCTCGTTAACAGAATGAGCAGTATTTGCAATATTGAACAAATTTTATCAAATTTGTTGCAACACTTTTCATAAGGATGAACACTGGATAGATTTCTAAAACAATTTTTCCTCCCTCCCTTTTCTTCCCCCTTGCAAATGATATTGTAAGACCTAAAATGTTGCTTCAGGGATTTCAGGTTGTTGGTCAGTATATAACAGCAATAAGACAACTAGACCATCTTTTCTTTCTCCTCTTGGTGTACTAAGTTTATTTTCATTTTTTTAAAGGAAAAATTTGCAAATGTATAATAGCACGTTTTCAAACATATTATTTAATTTAATACTTTCTACTATTCAAATGAATTCTCACATTTTTGTACTTTTCTTTGAAATAAACTACAGACTTTGCCTTTTGCAAGAGCCTGAAGAAGTTTCCCTGAGGTCTGAGCATTCCCATAACCTGCCTTCTCTTTCTCCTTTCTGAACTCTGGCCTGACCTGTCGCATTTTCATAGATTAAACCAACTGTGATAATGTGAATTGTGGCTGAATTTTGATCTCAATCTATCTGATCAAATTTCAACCAGACATCTCAGGGCATTCTGCTTCTCAAGAGAACTTGAGTGACCTTCGCCCATGCTAAACCCAGTTAAAGTACAAAGAGAGTCAGAATGAATTCCCATTTCTCTAACATTAATTTTCCATTCTATTTTGGTATACCTTTGGAAGCTCTGTCTTTGTCATGTACCAAAATTTGCCCAGGCTGGAGTGCAGTGGCCGGATCTCAGCTCACCAAAATTTAATTTATTAAAAAATTCAATGAATCTTTCATTAAGCTAAGAGCAGCTAAGAGCAATTCAAGGCTGTGTGCCCAGTAGAAGTTCAGTTCTTATTAATTAACAGTAATGAGCAAAGACTTCCAGTACTGATTCTCATTGACATAATCTCAGCAATAAAATATTTCTCTTTGGTTTTCTTTTCCTCCCATATTAATACTAAAGCTTTCCTTGAATTCTGCCCTTATATAATGTTATCTAGGGGAAAACTTGGTACTGAGCTTCTCTTATAACACTGGAAAATATTATCTGCTGAAGACAGATGGATGAAAATCTCTGGCTACTAATTTAAAATATATAATTTTTTTTAGCACTTTTCAATTCCAAGGAGATTTACAAGGATTAACTAGTTAATCTTCCAATCTTCAGTAAGTAGCATTAACCCCAAATTATAGAGGCTCAGGGGAAATGCCTCAAAGTCTCATGCCAGATAAGAGTCTGAGGATTTAGATACCTGCCATATTTCTGCATTACAGACTATAGTGTGCATTTTTACTGGTGCCTCCATGTGTGAGGGTGTTGATGTCCCAGAGAGCTTTTGAACTTGATGTAGGGAGTTTTTTGTGTGTTTGTTTTTTGCTGTTGGGGAAGAGTGCTATGAGTCCCCCAGATGCCGGTGTAGGCTCACTGACTCACCAGTTCAAGGATTTGGGGCCTATCATGTATCTCTGTTTTACAGATGAGAAAAATGGCCCTCAAAAAGGTTAAGAGAAGTGTTTACTTTGCTAACCTTGTAGGGCTGCTGGGAGGGGCAAAGAGATGGCGTGATAGCAATACTCAACAAACTCTTCATTGCTATATAGTTGTACATTGCATTATAATTATTCTTGTTTTGTTTTATTTTATTTTTTTTTTTTGAGATGGAGTCTCGCTGTTGTCGCCCAGGCTGGAGTGCAATGGCGCGATCTCGGTTCACTGCAACTTCTGCCGCCTGGGTTCAAGCAATTCTCCTGCCTCAGCCTCCCTAGTAACTGGGATTACAGGCGTGCACTACCACGCCTGGCTAACTTTTGTATTTTTAGTAGAGATGGGGTTTCGTTAGGTTGGCCAGGCTGGTCTGGAACTCCTGGCCTCAGGTGATACACCCACCTCGGCCTCCCAAAGTGTTGGGATTACAGGTGTGAGCCACTGTGCCCGGCCTGTTCTTATTTTATATATAGCTTTATGGTACTTATATAGTTTACTGTTATTTGAAGCATTTGCTGCATGTAACTTGAAACATTTTGTATTTACTTTAGAGCATAATTTAATAAGGACATGTGCTTCTTAGATTCTGTCCAAAAGGATTCAGTTGGTGAAATGCCAGAAATAATCTCACTGCATCATGAATTCTGCTGTAAGAAAAGAACCTGAAGCCAAAGTACAGTAGAGCACAAGGCTAGGACATTGAAGATAAAGTTAAATGATAGTTTCTATCTTTGCCCATGTTGCCCAGTCTGGTCTTGAGCTTTTGACCTCAAGTGATCAGCCCGCCTCCGTCCCTGAAAAGTGCTGGGATTACAGGTGTGAGTAATTAAGCAGTACTTCAGAAACGTGAATTGGGACTGGGAACGGAGGCTCATGCCTGTAATCCCAGGACTTTGGGAGGCCAAGGTGGGGGGGATCACTTAAGGTCAGGAGTTCAAGACCAGCCTGGCCGACATGGTGAAACCCTGTCTCTACTAAAAATAAAAATAAAAAAATTAGCCAGGCCTGGCGGCATATGCCTGTAATCCCAGCTACTCAGGAGGCCGAGGCAGAAGAATTGTTTGAACCCAAGAGGTGGAGGTTGCAGTGAGCCGAGATGACTCCACTGTACTCCAGCCTGGGTGATGGAGTAAGACTGTCTCAAGAAAAAAAAAAGAAAAAGAAAAAAAATTGAATATGAACTGGTCTAAGGGTCTTCCTGGATGTTTTCTCTCATTCTCAGATGGCAGCAGACTCAAAGAATAACCATAGGGTAGCACTTTCCAGTTGCTGTATGTGAAATAGTTGCTCAGTTGTAACATTCTTTATAATGCCTATGGAACTTGCATATTCATTTCTCTTCAGATCTAAAGATAGTAACTGTATATCAAGGGGTGTGTGTGTGTGTGTGTGTGTGTGTGTGTGTGTGTGTGTATCGTGTCTCTAACTCTGCATACCACCTTACCTTACCCTTATCCCTTGAAACTAGTACAGTAAATTAATTGCCCCATGGCTGCTGGAGGACCCAGACCTGGAGATACGTCAAAGTGGGGTATAAGAAGTTCCTAGAGAATTTTCATTAGTATCTGTCAGGTTCACTTTGCAGGATTTTAATTGTTTGTTTCTCCTAATGAGGCTCCTGTCTGTCTTGGATTCCTGGTCTACGCCTGCCATGAACTCTGAGGTTCCTCAGCTTGCTACTGTAACTCCTGACTTCTGCCTTTTCTGACCTCTGGTAACTGCTTACTTCTCGTACCTTCTTTCATGTACTTGGATGTCTGATCTATTGTGATTTCTCTTTGTTTCTTTCTATTGTTTAAAACTGCAAAAATGATGCATATTTTTACATACCCCTCTAAACATATAGTTTTTTAAAATGGGATTTCATTCTGCATATTATTCTGCAACTTTCTTTTTTTCCCCCTTACTAGTCTATCTTAGAGCTCTTGCCATATTTGTGCATGTAAATCTACCTCATTCTTTTCAGCTTCTACATAGAAAATGCTTGCAACATATACAACAGCAGGGAAAGGAGACAGTATCTGTGATACCGAAAGAATCATTCACATTTCTAAGATAAATATTACAATAGAAAAAAACAAAGTCTTTAAGAAGCAATTTGTAGACAAGGCAAGAAATGGAAAAGGCCAGTGCACATCTAATAAGATGTACAGTCTCACTAATAAGCAGGGAAGTACGAATTGAATTAATGTTCATCTGAAAATTTAGAGACTATCCACTGCTGGAGATGGCGTAAACAGGTAATCACTCCTACTGTTAGTGAAACTTTTAAGTTTTATAGACTACTTTGGAGGACCACATTTTAGTATTTATCAGTTTTAAAGATATAAATCCTTTGACCCAACAATTCCCCGAGGAATTTATTCCTACGCTATACTCAAATTAGTGTACAATACACAACAAAAATTATGGCAGCATCATTTAGAATAAAAAGTGGAAACAGCCCAAAGTCTGCCCATATCCATAAAGGAACTGCTTAAATGAACAATGGTATACCCCCAGTATGCCATGGTAATTCTGTGCAGAAGTTGGATTCATTTGGATCTGTCAACTTAAACCATGTTCCTTGTGGAGTTTGCTAGTTTATTGACCTAACTTGTAAATTATGGAGGAATTTGCTAAAATATTGACATCTATTTCATGCAAAGTTATAGCATTCAGTACAACCATAGAATTGTATCTGGGATGCCATTAATCTCTAGCATATTAGAAACAAGGCCTATATCTATTTATTTTAATTTTTTGAGAAGGAGTCTTGCTCTGTCACCCAGGCTGGAGTGCAGTGGCATGATCTTGGCTCACTACAACCTCTGCCTCCCGGGTTCAAGTGATTCTTCTGCCTCAGCCTCCTGAGTAGCTGGAATTACAGTCGTGCACCACCATGCCTGGCTAATTTTTATATTTTTAGTAGAGACGGGGTTTTACCTTGTTGGCCAGGCTGGTCTTGAACTCTTGACCTCAAGTGATCCACCTGCCTCAGCCTCCCAAAGTGCTGGGATTACAGGCATGAGCCACCGTGCCTGGACAAGACCTCTATTTAAACTTGCTCCTTCATTTATCTTACAAGCATTTTTTTGTGTCTTACAATGTGCCAGAAACCAGGGATATAAAGATGATGAAGACAAAGTTTCTGTCCTGAACTCACAGTATGGGGGGAGTGATTAGTAATCAATAAGCATAAACTAGTGCACAGAAGATGTAGGTGAGAACCCACAGGAAGTGATGTGAAATTTGAATGGGGAAAAGGGGATTTGGGGAATCGCCATGTGCCTGACTTTTGAATTTGGCCTTGAAAAAATGAGCTTGTTTTGCCAGCAGAAGAATAAAGAAAAGGACATTTGAGGACACGATCCAAGAATTCTTGGAATGTGCAGAGGGCAAAGGCACAAAAAAGCACCGTGACATTTTGAGTTTGTGGCATGTGTGTCAGATGCACGGATGAGCACTGGCACAGGAAACCAGACAGCAGGGCCTAGGCTGGTAAAGATTCCTATATGCCTTTGTCCTGAAGACCTTACACAAGAGAGGCACAAGATCAGCATTTTAGCAAAGCATTAGTGGTCAGTGGTCTTGAGCAGGCACAGCCGCCACCTGGAAGGTCATTGCAGTGGCCTGATTGAGAAGTGTTGCAGGCCTGAGCAGCAGCTGTGAAAGCAGAGAAGGGAGGAAGGGTAGGGACTTATTTAGACAATAGAATCAGTAGGAACTGATGACCAAATCCAGAGGGATGAGATCAAGGGAGGGAGAGGAGTAAGTGCGGAAGGGGAAGTATGTTGGTTGAACTCTAGAATGAATTAGATGGCGCAGTTAGAAAGAGGTTGCAACTCCTAAGCAAAATAGGGATTAAAGGAAAAAGAATAATCTTGATGTCAGTTTGGAACATGGGGACATGGATTGAGGAATAGGCAAGTAAATATGTCTAGTTAGTGGGTGAAAATATTGGACTAGTGGCCCAGAGGGAGATCAGGGCTAGTCATCTAGGTTTGTTGAGCTCCCCGCATGCTAGACATAGCTGTAGAGAGCCAGCAAGATGATCCAGGAGAATGCATTTTGCAAAGAGAAGAGGCTCCCTTGAGGAACATGAATATTCAAGGAGAAGATGGATGGCTAGAATATAAGTAACATGAAGCAGAGATGTTTGTCTATTCTGTTGATTGATATGTGCTAGGCACACCTTAAATACTTCTTAAGCAAATGCAGGGTAGGAGGGAGATAAATTATCCAAGGAATCTGAGAAGGAATTATCAGAGATAGACGAGAAAAACAGGCATTAAGCAGTATTGCCAAAATTAGGAGAGCAAAGGAGAAGAGATTTTCAAGGAACAGAGATTGGTGAAGAGGACCACATGCAGGTGAGAGGTAAACGTTGCGGAGGTCTGGAGACTTTCTTCTTTTTTTTTTTCTCCTCCCTTTTTTAAAAAATTATACTTTAAGTTCTGGGATACATGTGCAGAACACGCAGGTTTGTTACATAGGTATATATGTGCCATGGTGGTTTGCTGTACCCATCAGCCTGTCATCTACATTAGGTATTTCTCCTAATGCTATCTCTCCCCTGGCCTCCCACCCCATGACAGGCTCTGGTGTGTGATGTTCCCCTCCCCGTGTCCCTGTGTTCTCATCGTTCACCTCCCACTTATGAGTGAGAACATGCAGTGTTTGGTTTTCTGTTCTTGTGTTAGTTTGCTGAGAATGATGGTTTCCAGCTTCATGTCCCTGCAAAGGACAGAAACTCATCCTTTGTTATGGCTGCATAATATTCTATGGTGTATATGTGCCACATTTTTTTAATCCAGTCTGTCATTGATGGGCATTTGGGTTGGTTTCAAGTCTTTGCTACTGTGAATAGTGCTGCAATAAACATACATGTGCATGTGTCTTTATAGCAGAATGATTTATAATCCTTTGGGTATATACCCAGTAATGGGATTGCTGGGTCAAATGGTATTTCTGGTTCTAGATCCTTGAGGAATCGCTACACTGTCTTCCACAATGGCTGGACTAATTTACACTCCCACCAACAGTGTAAAATTGTTCCTATTTCTCCACATCCTCTCCAGCACCTGTTGTTTCCTAACTTTTTAATGATCGCCATTCTAACTGGCGTGAGATGGTATCTCATTGTAGTTTTGATTTGTATTTTTCTAATGACTAGTGACAACAGCTAGAATAGACAATTGGGATCTAATTAAACTAAAGAGCTTCTGCACAGCAAAAGAAACTATCATCAGAGTGAACAGGCAACCTATAGAATGGGAGAAAACTTGCAATCTGTCCATCTGACAAAGGGCTAATATCCAGAATCTACAAAGAACTTAAACAAACATACAGAAAAAAGAACAACCCCATCAAAAAGTGGGTGAAGGATATGAACAGACACTTCTCAAAAGAAGACATTTATGCAGTCTGGAAACTCACTGAGCAGAGTTTCAAGAGAACAGCTTCAGTTGGGTGGGTGGGGTATGGTATGGAAAGAGAAGGTGTCAGTGAGTAGAGGAATAAGTAGGGAGTAAGACAGCAAGGATAGTGTGTGAACACGGGAAATGACCCTTATTTGGATGATGGGAGCGATCTTGCCATACTTGCTACACTGAAATAAACACCAAAATCTATCAGACTCTGCTTTGCTGTGTGTCAGGGGTTCTTGCTGTGAAATCCCACAGTCCAGCGGCCTCAGCATCACCTGGGAACCTGTTAAAAGTGCAGATTCTCAGTTCTTATCTAGACCTCCTGAGTCATAAACTCTGGGGGTGGGCCGCAGCACTGTGTGTTTCAATGAGCCTTTGGAATGAGTTTGAGAACCACTGGCGCTGTGACATAATTTTGAGAAAAATTAGCACAGTTGAGTTAATTTTCCTCTGAAGAGTTAGTTTCTGAGAGAGTTCTAAAGCTAGAAGCCAAGATTTATAGAGCAGAGAGCAGGAGCAATGAAGCTGTGCCCTCCTGCCTGGAATGCAGCTGTGGCTCAGTTTTCTTGGTGCAGATAGAAAGAGGAGCCGAGTGGCCTCATTCCCTTACTGAGCCTCAAATTTCCTGTTGCAACACAAAACATTATTATCTAAGGACATGCTTTGCTTTAATAGAATGTGGCATTCCATTTATTAAAGGCCTGGCATTCCCTGTTCTTTTTTTCTGTCCTTAAAATGCCATCTGATATTTTAATTTTTGGTATGCCACATGAGTACAAACCGAAACAGCTCGAGATTCGGGCAGATGTTTCCCCTGATACAACTGCAAGTTTATCAAAACATTTGTTTTTGTTCTACCAGGTCTGCGAGCTGGATATTATCTTTAATTTTGAAAAGGCTTATTTCATCCTGGACGAGTTTATAATAGGTGGAGAAATTCAGGAAACATCCAAGAAAATTGCTGTCAAAGCCATTGAAGACTCTGATATGTTACAGGAGGTCAGTACAGTTTCCCAAACCATGAGAGAAAGATGATGATGATGATGATGATGATGATGGTGTTAATAATTATAATATTAACCAAGACTTATTGAGTACTTACTCTGTGCTGGGTACAGTTTCTGAACTATTTATATGTATTAGCTTATTTAATTCTCACAACAACTCGAAAAGGTAGGTGGTGGTATTCCTCCCACTTTACAGATGAGTAAACCGAGACCCCAAGAGGTTGAATGACCTGCTCAATTTCACACAGCTAGGAAGTGTGGAATAGAGATTTGAACCCAGGTAATTGGGCTTTAGAGTCTTTGCTCTTCACGTTTGGCTGAGCTTTGGAGTGCAAGAGTCCTTCACTGCCAAAAAGGTATCAAATACTTAGTGCTATTCTTTTCAAGAATAATTTTATGAGATGTATAAAAAGACTTTCATTAAAATACCTGTGCTGCCCTGGGAAAGGAGAATAGCAGTACGTTGTTATTTTGTTTGCCAGGGATATTAAAGCTTTATTATTGAACATGGCATTTATCATTTTAATTAAAATTTCTTACACCTTTTGGGAAGGCTGTGTGTGTGCTCCTGTTTGCATAAAGAAATTGGGAACACCAAGGCTTGCTTGCCAAGGTGTAAATGGGCCCAGAAGCATCCATTTGGTACTGCCCTGGACTCTGAGATTTCTATATAAAATAAAGTGGGAATGTTCTTTTAGAAGCAGCACAGATTTACATCATAATTCCTCAAGGAACTTACCTACATTAGCCCCTTCATTCCTCCCAGGACACTGTGAGAAAGAGCACTTCACTGACCTCTGCCGTCCCAGATGAGATGCTCTGAGGGCCTGGTTTCCATCCCAGCCCGGCCACCTCTAGATTCTTCTTCCCACAGCCTCAGTGGGTCTTCTCATCTTCCTATTTTCAAATAAGTAGGTCAAGAGGATCCACAGCATTGTAAAGTACCTTTTTAAAATTGGCATTTGGCTGGACGCAGTGGCTCACTCCTGTAATCCCAGCACTTTGGGAGGCCGAGGCAGGCAGATCACTTGAAGCTAGGAGTTCGAGACCAGCCTGGTCAACGTGGTGAAACCCCATCTCTACTAACAACACAAAAATTAGCCGGGCATGGTGATGGGCGCCTGTAATCCCAGCTACTCGGGAGGCCGAGGCCGTAGAACCACTTGAACCCGGGAGGCAGAGGTTGCAGTGAGCTGAGATAGCGCCACTGCACCACCTGGGTGACAGAGCGAGACTCCATCTAAATAAATAAATAAGTAAGTAAAACTGGCATTAAAGCTCCTTTTTTTCTGCTATTTGGAATAGGGTGATTAAATTAACAAAACACCATTAGGTGTGAACTCCCAGCAACTGTTTTGGTGCATCTTTAGGCTGATTACTTGCTCCCGCCCAGCCAGAGGATCAGTCCTCTGGTGAATGGATGTGGAGGGAAACATCTATTTGAGTGGGTGCCGTAAGCAGCTGCGTGTGCCTATTAGAAGGCCAATGCGTTCATTACCAGAGGTGTCTCACCTCAAAAAATGCATTTAAACTCTGATGTTGATTTGGCCGTCTCCAAATGCCACAGGGAGGAAAACTTTACAAGGTATTTGAGAAATCGGTGGTTTGGAAATTTCACAAAACCGTGTTTCATAAAATATACTGGGAGTTGGTGGCAGGTGGAGGGGGCGGAGGTTTTTTAACTTCAGGACCTCAGGGTCCTGACTGTGGAATCTCCTCACAGGAGAAACAGACTTTTTAACGGGGTCTGTGGCACTTCAGTAATTAAAACTGAATTGGGGGCCAAGGCACACCTGGGTTAATTGGAAATCCTCTCAAATTAGGAAACAGGTTGTCATAAATTCGGTGTTGCTAGTTCCATTTAAGTCTAGGAGTTAGGTATTCCAAGAACGAGCTCATTTACAATTAAATGCTAATTGGTAGTTCATGTTCCTGGTGATTGAGTGGAGGGGCTTGATGGGTAGGTCTCAGGGGACCTTGCATTTAGCCCTGGTGTCCCTATTGTGAGCAGGCAATGTCATGGCCGCCCTCTCAGTCTCTTCTGTTGCATTAACAACACTTGCCAAATACAGAGCGTGTTATTAGCCTTCTCTTGGGCTCTGGTATTCAGTGAAGTCAATGAATATTTTGGGGAACTTGTTGAAAAATTGACTTTGTATATCTTGCCTGCTTAAGAAGTTTAAACTGGATAGGAGCCAGTAATATACTTGCATAAAGGAAAACAATTACTGCTTTTTTTTTTTTCCCTGTGTTTTGGACCCAATCATATATTTGTAGTAACTGAAGGTTAAGGGAGACCTTTGTGACATTGCTTTAGCTGTGAGAACAGCTGTCTATCTTCAGTAGCCCCTAAGACTTTTTTCTAACTCCTACTTAATAACAGTTTCTTAGAATAATAATAACTTTTAAAAAGCTACACCTGCCTGCATATTTAGTAAGACGACACATAGTCTCAAATCTCCAAATGCTCAAAGCTTATTCTGAGTGTGTGGTGGCTAGATGTTGATAAGAGGAAAAGAGAGGAACTGTTTACTTGGTTGTGAATAGTTATTTGGGGGTAACAACAATGTGGATAATGGCACAAAGTTATTAGAAGGAAAATTAAACCCTCTGGCCGGGTGTGGTGGCTCATGTCTGTAAGCCCAGCACTTTGGGAGGCCGAGGTGGGCGGATCACTTGAGGTCAGGGGTTCGAGACCAGCTTAGTGAACATGGCAAAACCCTGTCCCTACTAAAAATACAAAAATTAGCCGGTCGTGATGCTGCACATCTGTAACTCCAGCTACTTGGGAGGCTGAGGCAGGAGAATCACTTGAACCCAGAAGGCAGAGGTTGCAGTGAGCCAAGATTCTGCCACTGCACTCCAGTGTGGGTGACAGAGCAAGACTCCATTTCAAAAAAAAAAAAAAAAAAAAAGAAAAAGAAAAAATGCTGGGCACAGTGGCTCATGCCTGTAATCGCAGCACTTTGGGCCGAGGCGGGGGGATCACGAGATCAGGCGTTCAAGACCAACCTGGCCAAGATGGTGAAACCCTGTCTCTACTAAAAATACTAAAAATACAAAAATTAGCGGGACATGGTGCTGGGCGCCTGTAATCCCAGCTACTCAGGAGGCTGAGGCAGGAGAATCGCTTGAACCCGGGGGGCAGAGGTTGCAGTGAGCCGAGATCATGCTACTGCACTCCAGACTGGGCAACAGAGTGAGACTCTGTCTTAAAAAAAAAGAAAAAAAAAAGAAAATGAAACTCTCAAAGGTGATAGTGGTCATTAACCACAGGACTTGCAATATGTGGGAGCAACAAACAGTAGATGTTTTACCCCGACTAACAGCCTGTCAAGAAGAGGGGCTCAAGGCCAGGTGCAATGGCTCATGCCTGTATTCCCAGCACCTTGGGAGTCCCAGGCAGGAAGATCGCTTAAATCAAGAGTTTGAGATCAGCCTAGGCAACATAGTGAGAACCTTGTTTCTACAAAAAAAATGATAAAATTAGCCAGGTATGGTGGTGTGCACCTGTAATTCCAGCTACTCAGAAGGCTGACGTAGAAGGACCGCTTGAGCCCAGGAGTTTTGAGACCAGCCCAGGCAACATAGTGAGAACCTTGTCTCTACAAAAAGTAATAAAATTAGCCAGGTGTAGTGGTGTGCATCTGTAATTCCAGCTACTTGGAAGGCTAAGGTGAAAGGATCATTTGAGCCTGAAAGGTCGAGGCTGCAGTGAGCAGTAATCACACCACTGCACTCCAGCCTGGGTGAGTCTTGGAAAAAAGAAGGGAAGGGCCAGATTGTATCTCATGAGCAATAGGATACCGTGTGCCCTCGTGTGGATGCATGCGAAACTGGTAGGTGCACCCCAACACTGTCACCCTTAAAAGCGTAAACCATGTTAACAGCTAAGCCAAACCACAGTGCAGTAGGAAGTCGTAACATGCAGTGTACTATACGCATAAGAAACACCACAGAGCTAGATGTATCCAGAAGAAGCCCCAAGATACAGACTCCAGCTCCTGTCTTGCAAAGGTAAGGGCAACTAAGGTTCTCCCAGCTCTAAAAGTCTGCCCCAAACCTTTAAAGTGGCAAGCTCAAGAAAATACCAACTTTTACCTTATTTGTTTACATAGCTTGAGTAACAGCCTGGCTTGGCTCAGACAGGGCAGCCAGCGTGGTGTTTAGCAGACTGAGTCATCTGGTGATGTGAGCAGTGCTGATGACTAGAGGCCACTGAACCACAAAGACAGGGAAGTGTCACCTCCAGGCCCCTCTCAAGGCTGCAGGCAGGGCCTAGCAATGCCCCCATCTGGTCATGGGTTTTTGTCAACTTTGCAAAAGTAAGATATTTTAACTGCAAAGAGTACATAGCCATACAATATAATATATGATAAAGGAGTGTCAAACAATTAATTAATGAAAATAGCATGCAACTGTTTTTTATTTGGTGATATTTGTCATCTTCAAAATTCATAATCTGTGCTCATTTCTTTTCTCATTCTAAGTACACTTTGTACCTGATTTTGTACCTGTAACTTTATATTCCCATGTAAATGGTGTAAACTCTGGATTCCACAAAACCAGCATGGCCCAATGGCCCGTATGATCCCTCTGCTAAGTTAAAAGATCCCACGGGCAGCAGCTGTAGAGGGGTACGGGACTGTCTCGGCCAATGCCCACTTAGGAGGTGAGAGCTTTGTTGAGCAAATGTGGATGACTGAACACAAGTATTTTTCGGCAGAGGAACTCTGGGATTCTAGATACAGCTGGTGAAAACCAGTTAGAAAACCTCCTTTGAAGGTAAGGGCAGATTTCTAGCCCTGGTATCTCCTGAGCAATCTTGCTCAGCCAGTAGCCTTGGTCTCTTCAGCCCATGTCAGTCCGCGTATTTCCCGGCAGGTTCATATGATTCATATACCCTGGGGTTTAAACTTAAGAGTGATTTGAACTTGGATTGCTAAATGAGCAGATGGTGACTCAAACGAAAGAGGCAGATTGACTTTTTGTCCTCTTGAGCTTTCCTATTGATTCCACCTGGGGCCCTGGTGTGACACAAATATATATGTTTGAAGTAGGAGAGCGTGCAAGAGAAAGCCCATCTGTCTGGCATGGTATAGGACCGGCAACACCACTGTTAACTTTGAACTCTACCTGTAATTGTGAGTCTGTTCAAACATTTTTTTTTAAATGCTGGAAAAAAAAATTATGGCTTTGGGGTATGTTAGCAAACTTAGTAACTGATGGGCAGTATGAAAAGAATGAGATCACATCCTTTGCAGGGACGTGGAGGGAGCTGAAGGCCATTATTCTGAGCAAACTAGTGCAGGGACAGAAAAACAAATGCTTCATGTTCTCACTTAAAAGTGGGAGCTAAATGATGAGAACACATGGACACATAGAAGGGAACAACACACACTGGAGCCTTTCAGAGGGTGGAGGCTGGGAGGAAGGAGAGGATCTGAAAAATAACTAATGGGTACTACGCTTAATACCTGGATGACGAAATCATCTGTATAGCAAATCCCCATGACACACATTTACCTGTATAACAAACCTGCACATGTACCTCTAACCTTAAAAGTTAAAAAGAAACATAATTGGTATACTTTGGGAGGAAGCCTTTGAAAACGTATGGCAGAAATTATATATTTTTTTTCCTGTGAACTTGGTAGAGAAGTAAAGAAATGAATTTTGGTCTGTTTATCTTTTTTGTCTTGACAATATGCATAATAAAGATGCTCTGCACAATATTGGTAATGATACATATGTTATACAGATATAATTCAGAATTCTCTAATACAGGTACCTGGATGTGGTCCTCCTGATCATTTTAGCAAGCATGTTTATCTTAAGTCAACAGTGATATCTTGGCAACTTTGCTTTGGCATTTCTCTCTCTCTCTTTTTTTGTTCTGTTTTTGAGACAGAGTCTCATTGTCACCCAGGCTGGAGTGCAGCGGCCAGCAATCTTGGCTCACTTCAACCTCCGCCTCCTGGTTCAAGCAATTCGCCTGCCTTGGCTTCCCGAGTAGCTGGGAATATAGGTGCATGCCACCACACTCGGCTAATTTTTATATTTTTCATAGAGATGGGGTTTTGTCATGTTGGCCAGGCTGACCTCAGGTGATCTGCCCACATCAGCCTCCCAAAGTGCTGGTATTACAGGCATGAACACTGCGCTGGCCAAGTATTTCTCTTATCAGACATTCCCTTTATGATCAAGCTTAACTTTTTCTCAGTTGAAAGTTACTTAATTCCAGCTCCATATGGATGTGTATACAAATTATACTCAAACTTTGATTAGAATGCAAAGATTTTATGTCCATGTATCCTTTTGACAACTTGTTTTCGACAATGGCAAATAAATAAAAGAATGCAGAAGATTTCACAGTCTGAGGAAGGATGTGACTTAAAGGGAAAATTGTTCTAATTTATTGTTCGCTTTCAGACAATGGAAGAATACATGAATAAGCCTACATTTTAACTGGAAATCTACTTGAAGACTCCAGCACTACGTGTTATGAAGCTGTAAATAAGCAACGCCTCGCATCCGGTTTTTTGATGGAGCCTCAGGCACCATGCCAAAAATAATTTAAAGGGATTCTTTGTTAACTAACAAAGTTAAAGTTGTTTAACATATTTATAATTACTGTGTGTCTGTATTATTAAAAAAAAAACAAAGAAAAAAAAGTATGTGTCTGTATTATACTGTATAGGGTACTTGTAGCTCTAAATGTTTCAAGTAACTACCACCTAACCCAACAGACAATATTTGTAATGTTTTAATTCCATGTTATATTTTTAAGCTAGTTTAGATAAATTAGATGCAATTTTTTGTTTTGCATTTGATCTTCTACTGACAGGTTAACAACGATATTGGAATAATCCATGATTTTGAATGTGAAGTATATATGATGTCATTAATACATTTTCTAAATGTTTAGTTTTTTAACTTGTATAATAATTCAAAATTATGTTAATAGTACAGAGTTTATATGTAATGCTAGACATTTTTCATATACTTAATAGTACTGTAACTGCAATTCACATACAAAGTGTCTGATTTTAATGTGCTGAATTCATTTTTTGTTTCAGAATTGGGATTAAGAAAATAACCAAAGAGTATAGAACTTAATAAGTGTTTTCGATGCCTTAGAAGCTGCTATCTTGACTGAGGTTTTAATTTATCTTTTAACTGAATATAAGGGACATTCCAATAAGGTTTTCTACAAACTATATATTTATTAAGGTTTATAGAGACCTAGAGATACAGTGTCTTTGACTTCCTTTATTATTCTAAAATAGTATAAGAATTAATAACAACAGCAATAATAATTATTGCTACTATTTTTTAAAATTCATGTTCCAAGCACTCTTAGATGCTGGAAATGTCATTTCAAATATGTTTTAATGTATCTCTAATGCATTTGAAGGCCTATTACATGGCTTGCTTAGAGCATTTAAGATTCTCATGGCCTATATGGTAGATTCTTTTCCTCCTTTTTTCTTTTCTCACCCTTTCCTCCCCAAGGAAAAGATTTGCTGCTGACCATTATTACTGTAAATATATCACATTTGTGCTTCCTGGAATGAAAATTCTGTATAACCAGGTACTAACAGTGATCCAACATATTATAGGGAAATAGCTTGTATGCTGGGTGTAGTGGCTCACACCTGTAATCCCAGCACTTTGGGAGGCCGAGACAGGTGGATCACTTGAGGTCAGGAGTTCGAGAGCAGCCTGGCCAATATGATGAAACCCCATCTCTACTAAAAATACAAGAATTAGGCTGGGCGTAGTGGCTCACGCCTGTAATCCCAGCACTTTGGGAGGCAGAGGTAGGAGGATCACGAGATCAAGAGATCGAGACCATCCTGGCCAACAGGGTGAAACCCCATCTCTAGTGAAAATATAAAAATTAGCCGGGTGTGATGGTGCATGCCTGTAGTCCCAGCTACTCGGGAGGCTGAGGCAGGAGAATCACTTGAACCTGGGAGGCAAAGGTTGCAATGAGCTGAGATTGCGCCACTGCACTCTAGCCTGGGCGACAGAGCAAGACTTTGTCTCAAACAAACAAACAAAATAATTAGCTGGGTGTGGTGGCAGGTGCCTGTAATCCCAGATACTCGGGGTGCTGAGGCAGGAGAATGGCTTGAACCCAGGAGGCAGAGGTTGCAGTGAGCCAAGATCACACCAATGCACTCCAGGGCGGGCAACAGAGCAAGACTGGAAAAAGGAAAAAAAAAGAAAAAGTAAAAGCTTGTAGTATTCTGTCTTGCTGCCTGCTATTTGATGTTTTACCTATGCATTTTCAATGTTAGCTTTGAGGTCTGGTATCATTCATATTAGAGTGGTTTGGGACCTCCAGTGATTTCCTAGAAGAGTATGTTTCCTATTGGATTCTTTGGGAGATCCCATCTGGTAGATTTTTAGAGAACCTGATGGAAAAATATTATCTTTAGTTCATCTCAGCAGACATATTTAGGGAAAACAGCAAAGCAAGCAGGAGAACAAAGGGAAAAATTCACCAATTCCTCAATGTAACCATTATTCAAAGCGAATAACTCAGATTAGCATGTTATATAATCATTAGGCTTTTACTATCCGATATTTCTTCAAGTTACCATGTAATTACAATTATGGCATCAGCTTGAAGTTTATCATGCATGATTGATCACTCTGTTTACTTTAGCTTACCTTCAGTTTTGTGGTTTAACTTTTTAGTGTGGTAGAATTCTTTCTTTTCTTTTCTTTTTTTTCAGACAGAGTTTCGCTTCTTGTTGCCCAGGCCGGAGTGCAATGGTGTGATCTCAGGTCACTGCAGCCTCCGTCTCCTGGGTTCAAACGATTCTCCTGCCTCAGCCTCCCGAGTACCTGGTATTATAGGCATGCACCACCACGCCCAGCTAATTTTGTATTTTTAGTAGAGTTGGGATTTCTCCATGCTGGTCAGGCTGGTCTTGAATCGTGACCTTAGGTGATTCGCTCCGCCTTGGCCTTCCAAGGTGCTGGGATTACAGGCATGAGCCACTGCCCCTGGCCGAATTCTTTATTTTTCAATACAATTTTGTAAAGATGGACCTCATGTAAATCTATCACAGTTTTTCCAGTTCTTTTGAGATTTGTCACCATATTTGGATAAAGGTATATCTTGAACCTCACTCAAATATACCACACATGTTCTAGATAATTCCATATTAGACACTCTAGCTATGGACAGGGCTTCTCAGACTTCATATCAGTGTCACACATAGAAAGTAAATGTGTCTCGTCCGGGCGAGGTGGCTCATGCCTGTAATCCCAGCACTTTGGGAGGTCAAGGCAGCAGATCACCTGAGGTCAGGAGTTCGTGACCAGCCTGGCCAACAAGGTGAAATCCTGTCTCTACTAAAAATTCAAAAATTAGCCAAGTGTGGTGACGCACGCTTGTAGTGCCAGCTACTCAGGAGGCTGAGGCAGGAGAATTGCTTGAACCCGGGAGGCAGAGGTTGCAGTGAGCTGAGATCGCGCCACTGTACTCCAGCCCAGGTGACAGAGTGAGACTGTCTCAAAAAAAAAAAAAAAAAAAAAGAAAAAGAAAAAAGAACGAAAGAAAGTAAACATATTTATATGGCGCAGTGGGGTAAATTTGAGGGATTTTAGGGACATCTTACATGGGCCAAGGCTAAAATAGTCATTGTGTTTTCTCTATATTATATAATTACCATGAAACTACCAAGGGAAAGGAAAGACAATAAATGTTAAATTTCTATAAAACTTTCAAAATAAAATGTTTTAACATTTTTTACTGAGGAACTTGGTGTGTTTTCATGAATATACTTTTTTAAAGTCAGATTTATGTTTGACATTGCTACTCATAATTCCTGGTGGTGTCTCTTTAATGTGACCTCTTTATTTTCTTGGTACCTACCAACAAGAAGCAACTTCAAAAGTAAGTGGTAACAAATGGGAGAAGAGTGTTTCCTGCTTTTGCTCCTACTGACTTTTCTCATCATTCACCTACATTTTGGTAATCTGATTTCTTTACAGGTAATTAATGATGTGATCATTTTTTAAATCTAGTGACAGCTCCTTTTCTTTCATTAACAAATGTAAAGTTGACAGTTCTTGTGATAAAGCAAATGGATTTTTGATTCAAACTGTTTTTTCCATATCAAACCTCCTAAAATAATGATAAAGCTTTGGTCAAATGTATTGTTCTAATCTTTTTTGAGACAGAGTCTTACTCTGTTGCCCAGGCTGAGGTACAGTGGCGTGATCTCGGCTCACTGCAACCTCCACCCCTGGGTTCAAGTGATTCTTGTGTCTCAGCCTGCCGAGTAGCTGGGATTACAGGTGTGTGCCACATGCCTGGCTAATTTTTGTATTTTTAGTAGAGATGGGGTTTCACCATGTTGGCCATACTGGTCTTGAACTCCTGGCCTCAAATGATCTGCCCACATCAGCCTCCCAAAATGCTGGGATTACAAGCATGAGCCACTGTACCCAGCCAGTGTCTTCTTTAGAATTCATATTTAATACATATTATAATATATTTACATTTACATATAACATTTATAATTCATATTATAATGATAAACACAGTTCATCATTGGTGAACTGTGTTTAATTTCACCTTTCTAAGTTATAGTCAATACATTTTACTGGTAAATTTTACCTGATAATGTACTTATTCACAATGGTCCCTGAAAATTTTTGATTAAGTTCATTCAGATGGTGGGGAATATGAGTAAAGCAAGCCAATAAATGTTCTCCAATAATCTGCAAAGGAAGACAATTAATTTTTTTTTCAATTCTTACTTTAACTCTTGACAAAAGTTTACCGGTAGACTGTGTACTTTGGTATTAAGCAGCAATAATCTATTTTGTCACATATTGCTAAAAACAGAAAGGTCTGTAACATCTAGAGCTGCCTTTTTTTTTTTTTTTTTTTTCAGTCAGGGTCTGGCTCTGTTGACCAGGCTGGCGAGCAGTGGCATGATCATGGCTCACTGCATCCTTGAACTCCTGGGTTTATGGGATCCTCTCACCACAGTCTCCCAAACAGCTGGGACTAAAGGCATGCGCTGCCATGCCTGCCTAATTTTTAAACTTTTTTTAGAGAAGCTGGGGGTGGGGGATGTTCTCTCTGAGTTCCCAGGCTGATCTCGAACTCCTGGGCTCAAGCGATCCTCCTGCCTTGGCCTGCCAAAGTATTGGGATTACAGGCATGAGCCACCATACCTGACCTTCTCAGGCTTTATTAGACTCACCTTCTGATAGAACCATTTAATGTGGAATTCAGTCCTACACAAGAACTTTCGATAAGTTCTTCATTAATAAGCTCACACATTAACTGAATCTCAGCATCTTTTCCTTGCATCTGTGCTATCACATAATTTATGCAGTGTTTCCATTACATTTAACCTATTTAAAGTGTTCATTTACTATTTTGCTTACTAGTTTGTTTTGCAGCTTTACAGAATAAATAATGTTTTAAGCATTTCTCTTCAGGGTTTCACAGTTATTAACTAAAAAGGGTCGATTAACCTGAGATGATTTATTTACAACTTAGCCATTCTGGAGTAGAATTATTTTAATGTCTTTGGCATGTTCTCTATCCAGTGATAATATTATTCAAAAGTGGCACTTTTTCTCTTTCCTTTGGAAAATGTTGAGAACTTCCACACAGATTGGTAAAATGAGCAGTTCTGCAATTGTGTGAGTTACATGGGCTTTTGCTATTGTTAGCTGACTTCATAACCATTTTTATGAGGTATACTTGATATTGTTATAACATTTTTTAAAAAATTAAAAAATAGAGATGAGTTATTATTATGTTGCCCAGGCTGGTCTTAAACTCCTGGGCTCAAGTAATCCTCCTACCTGAGCCTCCCAAAGTGCTGGGATACAGGTGTCAGTCACCATACCCAGCCTGCTATGACTTCTAGGAAACTTTGTTT